CCTTTAGTCTAGCTTGGAAGCCTCAATATTGTCCTGACATATTTGACGCATTGTCATATGACTGGCCACGACAGTTATTGATACTAATACCATTTTCATTTAAAAATGTTAAGACGACTTTAGACAAATACTCAGCTCCATGGCCATCAATAGGAATAAATGCCAAAAATCTTTCACGTGGACCATCATTGGTGACATAGCGAATAGTAAAAGTCAATTTGTCCTGATGTAAAATGTCAGGAGTTGAATCTATACTTATAGAATAATACTTTGCTGCATTGACTTCATTTATTATATAATCAAAAATTTGTTTTGCCATCAGTTCTAAAAGTTCTTCACAAATATTGGCTGATAAGTATGAAGTATGACCAGATCCTTTATTAGCATGATTTTCAAAATGAGTTTTTAAAAAAGGGTCGTATTCACTTATTAGTTCAAGCAATCCTAGGTAGTTGCCATTTTTTTTAGATCCTAGTTCTTGATTAGCTCCTCGAAAAGCTAAACCTTGAGATGCCAAAAATTTAATTGCGCTAACAAGTCGACGAATCACCTCCGTCCAATATTTCTTTTCATTTTCAGAGTGTAGCATTAATTGTTTATCGATACAATCAATAATATTTTTTCGCTTGCTGTAAGCTAATAAACAATTTTAATGCTCTGCACTTTCTTCGTGCTCATGAATTCGTTTCATACCGTTCCTCCAATCATTTAATCCGGGTGAACTGAACTGATTATTTTGGGTTGACGATAATTTGCATACAAAGCAATTTACTGATCCAGAGGACGGCGAGTATAATAACCATTTGAGATTGATTGTCTCACTCAACACTTGTCAGCGTTCTATTTTTTTCTTACCATTTGGCTCATTGTATGTACGAATAGATTTTTCAAAAACATTATCAATATTTTGAAATATTGCTGGGCCTTTTTGGATACAATGTGCAACAAAAGTATCACTATTCTTCCATTTAGCAGGATCTGTTGAATAATCAAATAAGTAAATTAATTATTTAACTGTGCATACTAATAATTTATTAACTTATCGTAATTAATATTTCCATTACTTTTTTTCTTCAAATTTGATTTTAGGTATATGTGTTTAAATTGGTGAAAAATTATTATTAGTCATTCGTAAAATTAATCCAGAGAAAAATTATAAAACAATACTCAATTAAATAACTCTAGTTATTCGAAAGGTTTTTAACATGTATTCATAAAGCTAAAAAATATATTATGTATAAAAAATGTACATATAACAACAGAGCTTTGACAAGTTTTGGTATACTTTGCTCAGAGAACTAGACCAGACTATAATGATCGTGAAGAAATCTAGTATACCAGGCTCGAATACAAGTTAATTAGTCGAGTTGTCTGCTCAATTTGTGATTCAGATCGTTCCAAATCAGAAAAATTCCTAATGACTTATGAGGTCGAGAAAATAATCCGCCGACACAGCTAACGAGAGACTTAATAGCTTTACTGTCCTCTAACCTCAAAGTCGCAACTTCGCCGCTTTGTTTTCGATTATTGGGCAGTAAAATAGTTTACGTAACTCGTCTGAAAGGCTTTTTTACGAACCTCGTTACGGCCCTCGCTTTCGGCTTGTGCCGCAAACTTCTTGGTTCGTAAATACAGCCTTTCGCAAACTCGTTCGTAATCTACTAAAGATATTGAAATACCTAAAAATGACCCAGGTGTTGATGTTCCAACTTGTAATCTATCAAAAGTGTTGTTACTGCAATTTAATTGCAAATCTTCATCATCGCTGCAATCTGAAAGTATTATCACCAATTGGAATAATAGGGAATCAAAACTTAATTAACAGTAGTACGAAAATCTTTGAAAAAATGCACTTACTTGACGTGTCAATATCGTTTTGCCTGCGGCTATCATTTTGAAAAATTGTTACTTTTTCAATTTCACTCGGCTCAGGGATACTTTCACTACCATCACTGTGATTAGTAACTGTTTCTTTTGGCTGAAAAAACTTTGAAATTTTAGGCAAACTTGCTTGAATTTCTTCAAGATTCTTTTGGCTTTAGCTCGCTTTTCTGCACCACTTGGATGCATACGTTTTATTGTAAAATTTTATTTTTTTCCAAAATTTTATAATAAAAACTTTAAACCGTGGGGATAACTTAAACTGTTTAATTACAAAACACAACACTTGTTTCAGCTAGCTTTCGCATAGATAGAGAGTTTGCACTGGTTTTTCGCAGCAGATGATATTGCCACTGTATATATACTCTGACCTACCAGAGCTCTAGTTAAAAATGGAGGAATGAGAAAGAAAAATTCAAAATGCAAAGAATGAAATTTTTTGAATAAGTTTTTAAAGCAGTTGTTTGATGTATTGACAATTCTATTAAATTCAAAAGAAGCAAAGTTACTGGGCAATCATTGCTAGGCGTTTATTTTTTATTGATTTTAATAATCAACCAACTCTCTGCATTGCGTACACAGAGAAAAAAGTTACAGAAATTTTCATGATAAAAGTAACGGTCAAGTTGTGACCAGCTAATTTGCACTAAAATTTTCATCGTAGTTTCACGATAATTTGTATGGAGCAGAAAAAATAATCCTCATAGTCTGCAACACTTTTTGCCGTTAAGCGACGGTAATTTTTCCCTCGATTTTTCCCCTGTTTAAGAAAAAGATTACGTTGACGGTTGACAATGTAGGTAATTACATTAGTCGAGAAGGTTGCTCTCAAGGTAAGAAATTTTTCATTTTGCATTACACTTTTTTACCTTGATGAAATCAATGTGATTACCAACACTATTGATGTTAACCTGTGACGTCGTCTTTTTCGCATGTAATTTTTAAATTTACTAGCCTTGTAAGGGTGCGATAGGAGGATCCCTTTTAAGAGAGGAGGATCCGTTATTTTTATCAAGAAAGGATGAGTTCAGAAGAAACCATAGAAGAAACCTAAATTCTAATTTTTATGTTATGTAGGATTATGTAGGACATTGTTAAAAAGTATTGTAAAGGTATTGTAGGTGTAAAAAATAGGACTCTTACTTTACTTGCCAATGTTACATGATATAAAAAAAAAATTAAATCTAAATTAGCGCTTTCAAATTTGCTAAGTTTATTAAAAATATGATGGGCATTCACACGCCGTATACATCAAAAAACCAAAATAATTAGAACTGCAATATTTTAGGGGAACACCCAACATGAACGCTTGCTCACATTCACAGGATTTATAAAACATATTCTTTCAATTTTTTAATTACATGGTTTACAATAAAGTTTCAGCAAATTAGCATTTAACTAATTTGGGTAACCTACTTTTTCTTTGATTTAAGTGGGTTTTAGTATTTGTCAATTGACTTTTAAGCCTAATGCTTAATGAATATTTTAGGGCGGCCTCCATCTGTAGTGGCTTAGGGCCTCGCAATCTATAAAGACGGCACTGATCTAAGACATTCTTAAGCTCGCTCACTAGGTGCGTAATACACTATCAAACATAGTTTTTTTACTATACTGAATAGCAATGCAGTGGAGTTACTATGTCACATGATAAATTCTACTTAAGAATGTAAACCATTTTAAAAATACAATAAAATTTATTATGTTGTATAGTAAAAATTATACTATCACGATTTTTACTATGTTAAACATAGTAATGTTTATTATGCTGTGTGGATTTTTTTAGGGCTGCTACATTATCATAGCTATTTAAAATAGAATAAAAATTACAATAATCTTAATAATTTGCGTCATAAGGTGATTATGTTTTAACTTTGCTAACAATTACAGTAATTTTTAGTACAGCTATAATACTTTTTTCAACATTACTTTCCTCAGTGTAGTTAAATTATGAATATTTTTTAATTATAGATACTTTTTGGTATTTCAAATACCTTTTTTACACAAAATTTTATGAGTAATAGAAAAAAAGTTTGCGTCTAATTTTTTCTTGAGACCTTCTGAATTGTTGTATTTTTACTATAAATAATAGAAAAAAGACTTTTTACACGGAGAAATAAATAACCGAAATTTTTACCGTGAAAGCAACTGTTAAAGTGTGATACTGCGACAGTCACTATACTTTTAACCATAGTTCAAGGGTAATTTTTATCCCAGTAAAATTTGTCTTGAAAAGACCACAATTTTTACCGTGCAGCAACTGTAATTTTTACTCAGCTGTTAAGATAAAGCTAGGATCACGTGGTATAGATGAGAAACTATAACACAGAGCAGACGTCTGCCGCACCTGCTTAATCTGCAAATTGACACGTCTTATGTTGGTATTTATCAGCAATGTTAATGATTAAAAATTTAAAAAAAAAATAATACCCATACCTACGTTCGCATTATTCACTAACGTGTTTAGCTGTTCAAGTGAAAATAATGTAATAGAAATTAATTGATGAACACAATTTTACTGATTAGTACATTTTTTACAATAAAGTTATTGCCTTTAGATGTATTTACAGAGTATGAGGCAATACAATCACTTAACTCTGTATCCTGGCACTGGCAAATTTTTTAACAAGTATTAACAAACAGGCGTTTCTATGCTATAGACCTCTATTGCGTTCGGGTTTGATTTTTATTGAGCAGGATGCAAAAGACGTTTATGAGCATACAAAATTGCTTGTCTTTTTAGATTAAATATTCATACTGTAATTATTTACAGTTATTCACATCGCTTGTATAAACATAAGACATGTCAACTTCTAGGTTAAGCAGCTACAGCAGACATCTGCTCTGTCCTATAGCTTCTCCTTGGTACCACGTGACCCTAGCTTTACTTTAACAGCTGAGTAAAAATTACAGTTGCTTTACGGTAAAAGTTCTGGTCTTTTCAAGACAAATTTTACTAGGATAAAAATTACTCTTTAACTACGGTAAAAAGTATAGTAACTGTCGCTGTGTCACAATTTATACAGTTGCTTTTACGGTAAAAACTCCGGTTATTTATTTCTCCGTGTAATGGCATTTTTATTTTTGCCACAAAAAAAACAAACATCTTTAAGTATAATTACCAAATCCATAACAAGTGCAAGGCGGTGGTTTTATTAGGACCATAGGGTACTTCAAACATTCTCTGCTCTTTTGAGAAGTATCGTCATCTAAGTCTATCCCACATAAGGCTACGAGATTTCCATTCATCGCCGCAAGTATATGTGTAGGTGAAATCATTGATTTGATGAGAGTCACATAAAAAGACGAAAATGGCAGCCTAAAACCAATTTTATTTTTTAGTACTCTTCCAACCAATGTCACAATAATTCTTCATTAAAAATTAAAAGTACTCACTCATACGGAACAATGTTATTAATGTTATTCGAGACGGCATTGCAGAAGCTAAAAATATATTTTATTGAGTGAGAAAACGAAATTGATTTATTGGATTTTTCAAGTGGAGAATCAAAATATATTGGGCACGAATCATTGAGTCTTTTGTTTCACACGGGTCATTTCACAAAAACTGCAATATTTCCAAGCCTTAATTGCGATTTTTTTAATTCAATGTTTAGAATTTTTTGGTGAAACTTCTTATGTTGGGACATGAACAGCCGTGTGAGGGGAAATGCGTTACGAAAAAACGTAGCCACCCACCCTGCAGCCCAAGCCCTCTCCTCAATCTCCTCTCTTACACACAGCTCTCTTCCACTCCGTCTCTCTCTCGTATGTATGCCATGCACTCCCTCCCCTCTTGCTGCTACTATACCTATATATATGTATTATAGGTATGTTCGTATGTTTATTTCTTTACGCTAAACGTCGACTAAACGCTCAACCGATGAGCATGGAGAAAAGAAAAAGAAAGAGAAAAACAACAGGTGTACTTGTACTAGAGGCAAAGTATACGTGTGTACATTGTATACATATATACATGTTGCACGTACTAATCATTACATACAAGTTCATATGTATACATGTAAGTATGTAAAATACGACAACCTTACCTATGAAAACAAGAAAAAATACTGTATCTCGAAAATGAAGCAAAATTGGCTAAAAATAACAATGTTTACAGCTTCCCTAAAAAGCAACTACATGTTCGAGGTGCACAAATATAGAGGGGTTGGACTATGCTCAAACATAGCCTCAATTATTTCCTTTTTCGACTGTATCTTGAAAAGAACGGGTAAAAAACGATTTCCTTGTCAGTACAGTATTTGAAAAATTAAAATGAACATTTACAAAATCTTCGAAAAATTTTTGTCATAACATAACCTCTCAAAATTTGAAAAACAGAGATATCTCAAAAAGGGAAGCTAGATAGGCCGAAAATAATTCCATGTATTGAAAAGAATTATTGAGGTGCAAAAATACATGTTACACGAATTCAAACAAACAAACGTAAGAATTCTAAAAATAAAAAGTCATATCTCAAAGACAAAACTACATCCTACGTATTCTAACTATAAATGGATTTATTTTCTATTTTCTGATCTATCATGTATTACAAGAATAATTGTCACGTGACCAAAACGTACATTTTTATTATTTATTTTGTGATTAGTCAAAAGTAGTTATAAGCACGGGTAAATTTTGATATTAAGTTGTAAATGATCATAGAATTCAATGAAAAATAGCTGTATGTCTGTTGTTTTCCCTAATCTCAATCAGATGGGTAGAGTGGATCACTTTACAATTATGGTAGCCAAAATTTAAAAAAAAATTTATTTGTCGGATACAATGATTTCAACAAGAATTAATTGTACATAATGCACGAATCAAATGCATGAATAGTAATTTTAAATATAAGGAATTTTTGTCTCGTGTAACTGTACAAAAGTACCTTTTTTCGGGGCACTATAGTAAAAATTTTTGTTTCGTCCTGCATTACATGACCAACAATTCGTTAATGTATCAATACATTTATCATAGCAAAACATGGAAGTACTTAGAATGTGTGAATCACATACAACATAGGTATATGTATTTTATGCACGCACGTGCTCGAATCCGTAGTTATAAAATTTTTAACAATTTAATATCGGATTTTTAAAGACCTATTGAAGTTAGGTGTGATCTCATTTTCTCAGTTTCCGTTATACCGAGTTTAATAACATTTGAGTTGGAAGTTTCACTTCTACTGGGGGTCCTGAGACTCACACCAGGTTTTTTTTTATATTTTTCTCCAAGTTGTGAAAAATCCAAACTAGTTAGAAATTTTTGGGCCCGACACTACAATCATTATTTTAAAAACCAGTGTTAGTTCAAATACGTACACGGAAAAAACTTTTGAACTTACAGAGCCCAGTTACGCAGGCTAGAGAAGTTCAAATCGCTTTGAACTCCTGCTGCACAAGTGTACAGGCCGCCTTGACTCGAAGATCGAGTCACACGAGTTCAAAACAGCATTCAACTGAGACTGCACAACCATGCGCACCGCGTAGCCTGTAGTTTGGGCTTGTACAGTACGGCATAGCATGGAACTGCAGAAGCTTGAGGGGGGGGGGCTACGTGAGCCCGACGGTTGTGCTCTCACAGCACAATGTCCAGGCTCAGCGAGCTCAGTGCTTCTCCGAGCTCTCTCTCAACAAATTTCGAGCTATCAGCAGACAACTTTTGGGCTTCAATGAATACAGTCGTTCATTATACAGAACACGTACAGGTAAATGAGTTAAAATTAATATTTTATATACATACATGTCTGTGAATAATTTCATGAAACTTATTTAACCTTTATGTAACTCATTAATATAGTATAAAATTTTTAGGGTTAATTATAACATTTTGACCGTACAAACTAAGAATGGTCATTTTAAAAATAAGTAACACAATTTTTTCCAGTATCTGAGCTAAGTGAAAACGAATATAGTATATTACGTACCTAGGGCGCAAAGTACGACTAGCGCGCCCAAAGGGCACACCTTGCACCCATCAATTGCTTTGGGTCNTATAAGTACGGTAGAATATATGTACGTAATGTACTATATTCGTTTTCACTCAGCTCAGATACTGGAAAAAATTGTGTTACTCATTTTTAAAATGACCATTCTTAGTTTGTACGGTCAAAATGTTATAATTAACCCTAAAAATTTTATACTATATTAATGAGTTGCATAAAGGTTAAATATGTTTCATGAAATTATTCACGGCATGTATGTATACAAAATATTAATTTTAACTCATTTACCTGTCCGCGTTCTGTATAATGAACGGCTGTACTTATTCATTGAAGCCCAAAAGTTGTCTGCTGATAGCTCGAAATTCGTTGAGAGAGAGCTCGGAGAAGCACTGAGCTCGCTGAGCCTGGACATTGTGCTGTGAGAGCGCAACCGTCGGGTTCACGTTGCCCCCCCCCCCCTCGAGCTTCTGCAGTTCAATGCTATGCCGTACTGTACAAGCCCAAACTACAGGCTACGCGGCGCGCATGGTTGTGCAGTCTCAGTTGAATGCTGTTTTGAACTCGTGTGACTCGATCTTTGAGTCAAGGCGGCCTGTACACTTGTGCAGTAGGAGTTCAAAGCGATTTGAACTTCTCTAGCCTGCGTAACTGGGCTCTGTACGTTCAAAAGTTTTTTCCGTGTATTTCTGTAAAAATTAAAACGAGCGTTCTTTTTTTGCAATTGTGAAGCCCTCAGTCAAAATATATCAACAAAATTTCGTTTATCACATCTGCTTCCCAGAACCCTTTGTACCTTTAAGTCATCTAATCAATAATTTTAAATCTCTCCGAGATTAGGGACGGTACGGTATTGACCGCTAATTTTATCAGGAAAAATATTCAATATTTGCAACAACACTTCAAATAACCATATACATATTCAGATTTAGGTCTGAAAAAAATTGATAATTTTCTCGTACACTTCGGAATACAAAAAGATCAATTCTTAGTATCCAAAAATGTATCGCTTAGCCAAATTAAATCATTTGTAGTGCGCCATTCGAAAGTGTCAAAAGTAGGTATCACCAATAAAACGTCGCTTACTTAACAAAAAAAAATTTATTCTGGTTCTCAACCATAAGAAAAAAGAGCTAGACACCTAAAACTTTCGAAAGTATCTATCCTAAAAGAATCAGTATCACGTGACTTTGACAGAATACGTCGTGATCTGATTGGTCGTGAGTGACGAAAGACGGTACATTTAAATGTACGTATGAAAATGAGTAGATAAGCGCTGGCTACATCTAGCGCTCTAAAGACTAATCGAAGTCGGTTAATCGCTTTGATTTATTTTTAAAATTTAATCATTCTATTTAGATTAAATAATTATCATTAGAAAAGGTTGGAGAGTTAGCGCACCTAGTACAATAAGAAATTAAAAAAATCAACGTCTATGCTCCAGAAGCCGCAAAGAAATTTTTTTCAAAGCTTCGCGTTACGGTAATGACATTTTGGCCTGTTTTTTTGGATCTTGCAGCCACACAAAAAATTTTTTGACTTGATCTCAATAAAGTATGTAAGATGAATGGGCTTACACCTTTAAAAAAAGTTCCGATTCGAAATAATTCAGTCTGTCGTTTATAAACATAGGCTTCATGGAATATTGCAGTTTTTGTGAAATGACCCATATAAAAATAGGTGACGATGTAGCGGAGTTAAGTTTTGTATAAAATGACTTATAAAATACATGTTGAGAAACATATACGAAGCATTGTTTATTTTTACTCTCGAACTCTACGCAATTGTCTCAATCAATTTTTCTTCCCAACAAAAAAATGAGTTTAATATTTTTCGATAATCTTATTTGCAAATCTAAAATTTGTTATAATTGAGTCAAAATAAAAATAAATATTGACATTTTATAAGTTAAACCTATTCTGGACAAACAAATCTTACTTTTCATCATCTGCATTTTTTATAATTTGACTGAGGTAAGAAAGTAGTACAAGTTCACGCTGTTGCCTAGGCTCCATATTCCAAGTTTCAAAGTGACGTTTTCCTTCTGCCATAGTTGGTACATAATGCAACTCGTAAATACATGCTTTTTTTGATACTTGGCTATCATTGTTTAAGCACATCAAAGAAAATTTCTGAAAGAATAATTGTGTCTAAGTAATAGTTATAACATGTGTTCGAATATAATTCAAGGAAAGAAACATTGTTAAAAACAAGTACTGCATACGTGTTCATTAACAGTATGGTTGAGTAATGCAAATTCAAAGTTATTTTTAGGTCTTTTAGATAGTATCTGGATTACATTGCTGGGTTCAATTAGTTTAATCAAAAAAATGCAGATATCTAGTCCAATGCCTTTGCAGAATCCCATTGTGTTTACAATAAGTGGATAATGTGCTAAATCTTTTCTACTCTGGTAAAACTCAACCAGTTTTTTAGTGCACTCTATGTATCGAGTAATACAGTTGGACACATTTATATCCTCTAAATATACATGATAAAATGGCGTTTTGAGATGTGTAAAGTTTGGACCTAACAATGGCTCATCAATGACATTTAACGACATACAAGCTGCAGGTGTCATTTCCGCCTGTCCAGGATCAAGATCAAGTAAAATGATTTTTTTCGAGTAGAACAACAGACTGTTGATTAGATAACGAGCTGTCGTGGACTTTCCTACTCCTTTACCACCCACAATCATGGTATGCAAGAATTTGTGGGAATCCCATTGGATCAACAGTTGCCTTGTCACTTTTTCGTTCCATTGTGGACAAATTGATATTTCATTACTGGAGTTGCAAAACTGAAAATTAGCTTGTACGACGCATTCAGCCCTTTTAGAATCGCACCACATATACTTTGTATTGTCTATTTTAGGAAACAACTTTAAAGGACAGTAATTGCTTAAAAAGTTTGTTAATGTGTTTTCAAAGTTCTCAAGTAAGAGGACAGACCACTCATCTGTGCATTCTGTTACAGCGTCATGCAATTTAGTTTTTAAAGATCTGTCTACACCTTCCAATATTAAAGCATCCCACAAAGCTTCCTTGTCATATGCACCATCAAGATAAAAAGTTGTCATAGTAAGAGAGCTATAACCACGGGGTGAATAAGCTTCCACAGGTTTTGCTGTATTTCTGAAATGAAAAACTGATCCATAAAGCTTGATAGCACCATACAAAACTTGTAACTTGAGCTTTCCTAAAAACGAAAACTGAGTTTGTGGCTTAAGAACTAGTATTACTCTATTTTCTAAAGAGAAAAACTGTGCAGATTGGTTTGTGGGAAGTGAATCATCTGAGTCTTCTACAGTTTTTTTAACAATGTCTGACAAATTATCAGTGTCTTTTACCAAATTGTCAACAGGTACAATTGCTTTTTTCTTTTTGTCTAGTTTTGTATGTTCATAGGTGAAATATTCAGGGTTTCCCGTCATTTCGTCATAAAAACCTTTAATTGCTCGAACAATATCTGAATTTTTACTGGATTGGTGGTTTGTACTGTTTAAACCATCTGTTTGTACTTGATGGCTTTCACCCTCTTTCTCTTTCTTGTTGACAGCTAGTATTGATATGGTCTTTTCTTCTGAATTAGTTCTCATTACTTCACGAGTAGCCCATAAATGTTCACGGGCACTATCTCTGATGTAATTTTTTAAAAGTTGAGAGTTATACGATTTTTCTGACTTATTTGAATAAGCTTTTGTAACTTTACTTTCTGTATCAAGATCATCAACTTCCCTAGAATCAGCAGCTGATAGTTCTATTTCTAATAATTCACCTGCAAGAAAATTGCTCACAGATAAAAAATGTGACAACTTGTTTTTGCATTTAGATTTGAATTGATTTCAAGATAGAAAATGTTTTAACTACATGTGTAATTGAGAGCTAAAAATGTTTTGACTTAGAACAGTATATCAGTACAATCTATTGGAAGCACATAGTACAGTAGACACAAAATGGATTCGAACTAAGTAGTAGGAAAAAATTATATGGAGAGAAAGAGTAGGATCCATAAATCGCGCATCAAGATTAACATATGTTCTGTATTTTGCTAGACGAGTCTGAAGTTTCGAGCGCTTTAAAAAAAATTTTAACTAAAATGACGTTGGACTAGTCTTTCTACATCAACAGTAAGGGTATAATTTTTCAATTATTTTTTACACTTGCTAATTGTTTTGCAGTTATTTAAATGGTAATGTGAAAGTTTTTTGTTGTTACATGATCTGTGCTCGAGATTTTAGACTCGTTTTGCTGGGTTTATCACGCTCTATATCATCTCAGAATTATGAAGCTCTGCCATACACCCTACTTAATTGATAGTATTACGTGCAAATTAAAATAGCCGACAGTAATTTTAACACTTCTGATGCTTTACTACATACGTAATTTCAGTCTTAAAATTACACACAATTTTGTATCTGGGCAATTACAAAAAATTGTACCACAGTATAAGTTATTAGTCATATAAACGAGTTTGAAAAATGTAAAATTTTTAAGATAGTTTACCATCATCAGGCCTAATATTAACTTCCTGAGATATATTAACTCCAAGTGTCGAAAATTCGATTTTTGATGGCTCTGATAAGAATTTTTGGATATTTTGTTGTCTTGGCGAATCTCTCATGTTGTTGCGTAATAAAGTACTATTATTTATAACTGCATTGAACCCTGCAGTTGCCTGGTTGACTTCAGGTTTGGTGATCATCGGAACCGAAGATACAGTGGAAGTATTTGATGATGAATTGTGAAATTCTAGTTTTGCTTCATGACTATGACTAGCATCATGTTTTTTCTTTTTTTTAAACTTCTTAACTAATGAATTGTGGAAATTGGACTCACTAGAATCCTTGGATTTCTTTTTTTTGTCTTTTGATGAGCTTTTTTTATTTGACTTTTTAATATATACTTTGAACTTATCATCATCAAATACTTTGCCCTCAGGATTATCATCGGAGTGATCTGAGCAATGCTTTCTCTTACGTTTTTTCATAATCATTTCCCTCTCGACAACGTACATGTAAGAAACTTTATAACCTTATAAAAAAAAACGGTGATGGACCAGAGAATATAGAAGCATGTCCCTTCACCTGAATACACGGTCGGGTCCTGATGTCGCCACGAGCACCCTCGCCGCTAGTCGCCGAAAGTCGCCAGCAGGTACCGCTAGAATAGCCCAAAAAAATCGCCAATAATACGCGCGCTATTAATTGTTAATACAAACGCCTATCACCTAATGACCTGGGACGCTTACTGGCCTCCCTATTTAATAACAAAGAATTAATTATTAACACAAGCGCCTATCACCCAATGACCCAGGGCACTAACTGGCCTCTCTATTAAATAATGAAGTATTAATTATTAACGCAAGCGCCTATCGCCCGGTGACCCGGAGTGCTAACTGGCCTATCTATTAAATAATAAAGAATGAATTATTAACACGAGCGCCTATCACCCGATGTCCTAGGGCGCTTACTGGCCTCTCTATTAAATAATAAAACATTAATTATTAACACAAACGCCTATTACCTAATGACCCTAGGCGCTAACTGGCCTCNGTTAACCTATTTTTTTTTTTTTTTTTTTTATATTATAGTGCTTTACGTCCGGCTCCTATAAAGGGCACTACACAGGGCACTTAGCACTTGGGAGAAGGAAGGGAAGAGGGATGGGAAGCCTCACAATACTGGGAGGGGGGTAGGGGGAAATTAGGCAATTTTGCTGCGAGAAGGTCGCCTAAACCCTCCTCGAGGAGCATTGCGTGGTGAAAAAGCACATGTGAAAAATCACAGAGGTACTTGCCCGAAAAAGTCGTACTATGGCCGGGAATTGAACCACGGTCTCCCGCGTCTCAATCCACGACCTAGCCGACTGAGCCACCGCGCGCTCTAGACGATATATATTATTGATTAATAACACAAGCACCTGTCACCCAATGACCCAGGGTGCTTACTTGCCACTGTATAAATTAATAAAAAGTTAATAACTAAACCAAGGTCCTATCACCAAGTGACCCGAGGCACTTACTGGTCAATTTATTAAATGATAAATATTATTATTTAATAGCACAAGCGCCTCTCACCCGATGACCCGGGGCGCTTACTGATCGCTTTATTAAACAATATATATTATAAATCAATAGCACAATAATCATGAGATAATAGGTGCTTGTGTTAATAATTAATACTTTATTATTTAGTAAAGCGATTAGTAAGCGCCACGGGACATCGGGTGATGGGCGCTTGTGCTATTAATTAATACTTAATTATTTCATAGAGAGGCCAGTAAGCAGCCCAGGTCATCGGGTGATAGGCGCTTGTGCTATTAATTAATACTTTATTATTCAATAAAGCGACAAGTAAGCGCCACGGAACATTGGGTGATAGTTGCTTGTGCTTTTAATAAGAACTTTATTATTTAATAAAAAGGCCAGTAAGCTGCCCGTGTCATTGGGTGATAGGCGCTTGTGCTATTGAATAATACTTTGTCATTTAATAGAGAGGCCAGTAAGCACCCCTGGTCATTGGGTGACAGGCGCTTGTGTTATTAATCAATATCATACATCGTTTAAGAAAGAAATTTGTGAGCGCCCCAGGTCAATGGGTTATAGGTGCTTGTGTTAATAATTAATACTTTATTGTTCAATTAAGCGACCAGTAAGCGCCACGGAACATCGAGTGATAGGTGCTTGTGCGATGAATTAATACTTTATTATTTAATAAAGCGACCTGTAAGCGCCACAGGACATTGGGTAATAGGCGCTTGTGCAATTAATTAGTACTTCTGTATTTAATAGAGAGGCCAGTAAGCACCCCGGGTCATCAGTTAATTCGCTACGTCAACGAATATAGACGCATATAGAAGCCCACTCAACATAGGACTGGTGGCGAAAAAAAATCTGATTAAAAGTAGACAGTAGATGGCGCTTCTATGTACTATTTAGGAATAGGTAATAGTGTCTATAGTGAGTGAGTCGTTATTATAGTACGAAAACGTGCCTAAATACTAAATTGTTGCGCTTATGACGTTATTTATTTGGTATAGTAGGGCCCCAATCTTTCGAAATACGCGTGGATGTACTAGCTTAATATCAAGCCAACACATCTTCTCATTAAGCTGAGCAGATAAACGGGTGACGGAAAGACCTGGATATTTTTTAGCTAATTTGTAGCTCTGAGATGCATTAAAGGGGAACAATCGAATAATCATGCCTAATACAAGATGGAATTTACTGTCGGACAAGCTGTGGCCCTTTGCGATAAACATATGTAACTATTAATCATATAAAACGGAACGTGTAGTTAGCTTAGTTGGCTAGTGCGGGCTCCTTTTGTTTCCAATCGGCAGTCGGAGGTTCGAATCTCGCTCGCTGCATTTTTTTTGTCTACGAAAATTGCAGTTTTTTTTTTTCTTATCGCTCGCAGTACTTATTATAATTCCAGAAAACAACCACAAACAGAGGCCCGTAAGATATTGAATTCTATACAAAATGGTGAGTTTGTATGCATCAAGTTAATCTCATTGATGAACTAATGAACTCTATTCCCTGTCCTTTTTGAGCAATAAAAATGTTTGTTACTCTGAAATATAACCAATTTCGTAACTTAAATCATATGAACAAGTATTAATTAAACTACATCCAGTTAATAACTACTAAGTCACACTTTATATCAATAATTTATTGAGCCTGGTTTTATTATTTTTTGTCAAATTTTAATACAACAAGAAATACTTAAAAAATCTAAAACTTTATAAAAAAATACAAATAATGATATGGACGTATAAATACTTTTTAGAATTAATATATAAAAATCGCAAAGAAACAACTTTCGGGAATCAACAAAAAAGTGCGCAATAAAGTTCAAATTATTATGCTAAAGGGAAAAAA